AAAACTGCCAGAAAAACAGTCTTCTGAAATAGCTCCAGTTATAATTTCAATTGTTGAAGTTTCTTTCACGAACTTCAGCCAGTATCTAGTTTGCAAACAGAAAGCTATGTAGACATCTCTCTACAGATGTTTGTGGAAGGAGCATTCATTAAGTTTTTATCACATATTTATGCCAACTCACTGTTGGATTTTTTGTCAATATATTTAATCTCTATGTTTCACTTTTTTTTTTTTTCAGTATTTATTTATTTTTATTTATTTATTTTTTTTAATTTTTTATTGTTGGCTGTTCAAAACATTACATAGTTCTTGATATATCATATTTCACAATTTGATTCAAGTGGGTTATGAGCTCCCATTTTTACCCCATATACAGATTGCAGAATCACATCAGTTACACATCCATTGATTTACATATTGCCATACTAGTGTCTGTTGTATTCTGCTTTTAATTAACTTTTATTGAGGGGTGGTACTGGAGATTGAACCCATGGGCACATAACCACTGAGCCATATCCCTGTCCCTTATCTGTATTTTATTTAGAGGAAGGGTCTCACTAAGTTGCTTAGGGCCTTGCTAAATTGCTGAGGCTGCCTTTGAACTCCAATTCCTCCTGCCTCAGCCTCCTAAATCACTAGGATTACAGCCATGCACCACCACGCCTGCATTTACCTTTTTTTGAGTAGTCATTGCTTAATGCTTTAGAAAGAGAAAGGTAAGAGCCTGCTCAATTGCTACAAATGGTTTAATTGGTTTCAAAATAAATCATGTGATTTAAATGGGCATTTTCCCAGATGGCTGTCACTTTGCATTTGAGGGAAAACACCAATTACAGTATTGCATGAAAGCTGAGAGTCAATAGTCCCCAAACTATCACCTATATCTTCACTTGCTTGTCTCTTTATTTTTTCATTGTCACGTTTCAGAAGGTGGATATGAGGTGAAGGTGAGAAAGTACATGAAATATTAACAGAGGTTTGAAATACCTTTGATGGATGAAATATGGCATTTTCAAAGTTACAGAAGAAGGACCTGAGTTACTGTGGCTGCAAAAGCACACATTCCTGAAGAGAGAACTCTTCTAAATGACCAAGATGCAGAGAGCACACAGAAAAAAAAAAAAATCTCTGCACCCGTACTTAGACAAGCACAGCAGGGTATGCAATCTGCAAGTAACACTTCAGGTGGCTTTGCATGTCCTCACACCTTCCAGGAGGCAGTCAAGAGTCTAACCATAGAATCTTACTTGGTTCTAAACACAGACATTAGCTATTGAAAAAAAATAAAGTTTGCTAAAGTATATGAATGTATTATTTAGATTTTGAAGACAATCTGAATAAATGAATATAATTTCCATTCCCCAACCTGTAAAATGTAAGCCTAGGTAGTTATACCTCATCTAATTTTTTTAGTACTACTCAGCTAATTATTATGAAATTTTAAAATAATAAGTTTTTATTAGTCAATTCTAGTGGTAACACTGCCAGTCTCTAATCCTATCATGGAATCATACCTAGTTGAGGGGCCATTTAACTATTTACTCTCTTCAAAGAAGAGTTCTTACATTATATCTAATCCATTTGTATCCTTAATTCAGCAGCTGTAAGATTACAGAAGAAAAAATACAGTCAATCTTTTTCAGAATTTCCTAAAAATAATACAAGTTGAAATTTAAAATTCATATTATTTCTAAATCATTTTACCTACTCATTAGGAATTTATATTATTATACTCCTCTAAAATCTAGTGTTTATTTAACATCTACTATATACAAGGCATTGGGAAGAAAGCAAAATTAATGAAGACTCTTCTTGAGGGACTCATTTTTTTCAGTAGAGACAGAATAGGCAGATGCATAAATCAAGGAAATCTATATTGACCCACTATTATAGAATATTAGAGCTATGAGCAACCTTAGAAAACATCCATTTCCAATCATTATTTTATGGATATGAGAGGGGGGCCAGGGAGGAAGGCAGGAAAGAAAAAGCCCGTTTAGGAGATTAGGAATTTACTCCATATCATTCACACAGTTTAAAAACCTGAACACAGAAGTAGGCCTTCAGATTCCCAGTTTACTTCATTCCCATTATACTACGTTGCCACTCTGAGTTGGAAAGCATTTGAATAAGCAAGGATGGAGGAAAGAAGACAGTATGGTGGCAAACATAGGCTGGAATATAACACTGATAAAAAAAGTTTATTTGGAACACAGACCATTTAATTTCTCTGAGAACAAGAGCTTGAGGGGAGAAATGAGATGGTAGGCAGAAAACAGTGAGATCAGACATCAGAGGGTATCAAATGGCAGTCTAAGAGAGTTAGACTTTTTCATTAAAACAATTTAATGGACACAGGTAGCAGAAATTACTTGCACACCTAATACATCCTTTAACATTTGTACTACAATAGAACACTGACAATCTCAGAGGTTTATAATGAAAGAAGAGAAATGCCTTCCAATATGAAAAAGGCCAATGACACATAGCACACTTTTAATGAACATAATCTCCCTTTGTTAATTCTTCTTTCTCTTAAGTGGAGGGTGGTAGAACAGGGATATAAGAAAGCAAGATGTAAAATGTGATGGGACTGACAAGTTTGTGATACCCTATACCTCCTGCCTTGCCCCTGAGTATCTTCAACCCTGTACAGCTGGTTCCTGAACCAACCCTAGACAGGTTTGAATCATCCATCCTCACAGATGCTAGGGACTAACCACATGCCCATAGAACTGTAGCTGCTCTTCCCTCCACCACACCTACCCTGTTGCCTAGCCCTTGTTCTAGCGTCATTCCCTTCCTTGGGACTTAAAACATATGAGAGGAGGCAAGGCAAATTTTACACAAATATTAGTATAGCACTCCAGAATAATTTCAAAATACTTTCACATATTCTTTTTAAGTTCTCATAAAGCAGAAGCAAACCTCCATTCCATCTTACCCCTTACCCTGCATAGCTCCCCTCATTTCTCCAGAGGTTAGAATATGCTCCCCATCTCTGGTTACTAGTAAGACTCTAACATTGACATTAATGTAAATGATTGTCCTGAAATCCTGATTCTATTAATAGCTTAATAGTAAAAACTATCTTAGCTGAGAAACTGCATTCCACTCAACAAACCTTAGCACATCAATATCAATGAATGCTTCAAAAACACCTGGACCCCACGCCTTGAACTCCAAGGACCTTCCTTTTCCAAGCCTGCTACTTAGGAAAGTTGCCCCTTGAGCCCAGCTCGGTATGTTCCCAGTCTACTCTCCTCTATAGGCTTGTCTGCTGCTGGTGAGAGGCCATAAGTTTCTGTGTTGAGGACATTCATGTGATGGAAGAAGTTTTGAAAAGGAAACACTGAGTGCCATGGTTAAATTGATAAAAAGTCTGTGAAGCACTCTGGGCTATATAAGACTTAAAAGTCCACAGACTCACTGTTTTTCAAAGTGAGACGACAACTTGACTTATGGTTTTCAACATCAAGGAACAAATACCGTCAACTGATCTTCATCCTTTCACCTCAGGTATACAGAAAAATGATTTTTCAGGAAAGAAAAGAAGGTGGGGATTTTTATGGAAAAAACTGCCACGAATAATTTATTGTTCTACTTTTTAATTCTCGTTTAGAAAACATGAAACAAGATACATTAAAGTACTTTTTAAATTTTACAGTGATTTTATTTTTAGTTGGAAGAATAGAGCACAGTGTGAGGTACTTTCCATGCATTATATCATGTTATCCTTACATTAGCCCAGTAGAATACAAACTACTTTTATTCCCAGGTTAGACATCAGGAAATAGTCTAAGATAAGCAATTTCCCAAAGTCACACACCGTTATGTAGGAACACTGCTACTGGATCTCTAGCCAGCTAACCCTCAAGCCTATGCCTCAGCCAGTAAAACACTCATTTGGCCCATTTTTATTTTTAAACAGCACTTTAAAATTGTAAGTTTGAGGGGCTAAATATATTAAGAATATGTACTATTTTTATAAGTACAAAAAAGAAAAAAATAAAGGACAAACTTCTGAAAGCTTGTCACCATTAATTTAAGACTAATTAAAAATGAGACCCAAAGTGTAACTTACTGTGGGTACGATAATTCAACTAAGGAAAATTATCAGCACCCTCTAACTACAGAATATCTATTCATTTCCTCCATAAACATATACTGAATATCTATAGCAGTACTGGGCTAGGAACCAAGGACCGAGATGAATAAGACAAACAAGGTCTCTGCCCTCCAAGAGCTTCCAGACAAGTTGGGAAGAGTCATTCATGGGTGAATACAATATCATATAACTTGTGTGATGAAGGGGACAGAGGGAGGAGGTCAGGAGAACTTAACTGAGCTAGGGAGAAGGGAAAACCTCCCTCCTAGGAGTTAGGGCAGGGCATGATATAAAGAGACAGGGAGTGTTCAATGTAGAAAAAAAAAAAAAAAACATGCACTAAGGACCAGAACGGAAATAAGAAACTGGTGGAAGTTCTGAGTAGCTCAAGCTGCCATCCAGAGAAAAGAAGAGCCAAAGCTTGGACCAGATAGGTGGGCAGAGGCTGGATTCTACAGGCCTGTCAAGCATACTAGAGACTTAGGACCATACCTGAGGGCAATGGAGAGTCAATTCAAGCACAAAAGAGAAACTTAATCACATTTTAGTTGTACAAGTATCAATCTGATTGCAGAGTGAAGACAGTTTATAGTGTATTTGGTGGGAAATTATTGCCTTAATCCAGGAGATAGGTGACGGTGAGCAGGGTTGGAGTAACAGATATGAGCAAGAAGAGTGCCCACTTGTAGAGTAGAATGGGGTCTGATTTAAGCCTTGAAGTAAGTCTAAGGTTAAGTCTAAGGTAGACATTCACCTTTTAATTAAACGAGTCATTTTACTGGGAGAGAAAGGGAGCAATTTCAAAAACTTATTCCAACAACAAAAAAAATTACTGCTTTGAAACTATTACTGTCATTTACTCGTTAGAGCTTGGGTTTCACCCATAACTTACCTGGTTACCAACCAATAATAAGTGTTCTCCAAGGAGAAAGTCTTTGAGCATGTCTTCCATCACTATCATGTGCTAGAGGAAAAAAAGGACCACAGATAGGTTAACTGTGTTTTAAGTTAACTATATAGATATCTTCTTGGAAGTTAAGACATCCTTTATGATAGAATACTCAAGTAATTTAACTTTTAAGAAAACAAAATTAATGAGTTAGATATAAGTAAACTACATAACCAATTGGGTCACTGATACTGAAAACTTAAAACAGCCCATTAGAGCAAGTACAACCAATTAACCAGTTCAAGTTGTTTTTATAATTCAAGTATTTTTATTTAAACTACGTAGCATTGTCTTGAAATTTAATATAAATTTAAATTGACACTTGCTAATGTAAATATATAATGGCTTCCAAAAATAATTAGCAATTTTTATGGAACTTTTTAGACTGACATCAACTTAACCATTACCTTCAAAACTATATATAGCTTTGAAATTAAATATATTATTCAACTTCCACAGTTTTTTATTTGAATTATGACACAATATAATAAAAGAACAAGATTAAGGTTGTTCACAATAGCTACAGAGAAAGTTACATTGCTCTTTTGTATCTTAAAAAATAGGCCACCTATAAGTAGGTTACAAAAGCTCATTGGGGGTCAGGAAAAGAACTACATCCTAGCACAGTTAATATCCCTATTACTTTCTCTTGGTTTTCTGTATCAAATCAAATAACAGCCTCATAAGTACTAAACTTATTGAAGTTCCCTATTTTTAAAAAAGGCAAATTAAACTTTTGCATTAACCTTTTATATTAACATTTTATATATCTATAGATATTTATCTGGTATGTCAATTGCTTTTATTTTTTTAAGTTAGTTTTTAGAGAGCCAGGAAATTTTCCTTTCATTTATCAAATTTAGTATACTTTCATTCTGTCTGTTTCTTAGAAAGGAAAACTAAGAAAGCATTTTCCTACCTTGAGAACAAATGAGTAGCCCCTGATATTTATCTTGATAGTTTTTGTTTTTTAAAATTAGATACATTAGGGAGCTAAAGTTTTAACAAGGCATGAAATAAAATGAGCATATTTACTTATTGTCATTCTGGCACATTTTTAAAATAAAGAGCCAGCCATTGTTAATAATTATGCTGGGTCACAATAGGTACAAACTATCTTTTTTTTTTTTTTTTTTTTTTGTGGTGTTAAGGATTGAACTCAGTGGCCTTGTGTATGCTAGGCAAGCACTATGCAACTGAACTACATTCCCAGCCTAAATTGAGACTGTCTTAAAAGCAAACTAAGATAAACTGAGATGTATGATTTCTCTATAAAAGTGAGTCCTAGAAAATAATTTAAAACTCAGTTCTGTGGTAATATATGCCAGAGATCTTTACATTTTAATTCAGATGAAAAGTCAATACCAATTTCCATAAAACACTAAATTCTTCCTGAAATAAATAGGCTAATCTGCATGAGGAATGGATAGAAAAGTTGCAAGGAGCACCTTTATGGCTCCATAATAATGAAAATGAATGCAAACTATATTTGTATTCTTATCTGTATTGTTTATTCTAAATCTTCCTTCTTCATATGCTCATTACATTTAACTAGATTATTCAAATCCACAAACACTAACAAAGGCTAAGGTCATGACCAACATAATTCTTGTCTTGCCTTCTTTTCTACTTGGCACTGCAGATGATTTCTTAAGTCTATGCTTTCAGTGAGTTGTCTTTCTCTCCTGATTTTTTCCCCGCCTTTAATAATTTTTCTCCATAGTCTTCTGGACTAGATCATCTTGTTGTAGCAATTCCTTCCATATGATTTTCCCCTGGTTCCTTTGTTTGTTCTCTCCATTACCTTTTACTTGCTTTCTTTGGGGTCTCAGTATAGGGTAGAACAAGTCATGCCTATCTGTACACAGTCACCCTCCTAAGATCCAAGTGAGGGCTATGTGCAGAGTTGGTACCCACACATCAGTGCTAGAAGAGCTACCTCTGACTTCACACTACCTAAATTCTCTCAATCCATCTCATGGCTGCAGCTAACCCTGATCTTCAAACATCAAGATTTCTCAGTGATGACTAATAATAACACCCCCTGATTATTGCCCAGGCTCCTAAATTCAGCATACTCAAATTCAAAACTTGGCTTGTTACATTCTCTTCAATAACTTCATTCTTCCTTTTCTTTTCATAATTAATAGCATCATTTTCTATTGCCTGATCAAATGTTTATCATAATCATGATCACACTGCCCACCTTGCTTCTCTTTTATCAAGATCAAAAAAAAAAATCCAAAACCACCAACTCCCAAAAAAAAGATCAACGGTATTCATTATTTCCTTACTATTACCACAGTTTGAATTTAGGGTATTATTATCTCTGGCCTATATACATAGACAGGTAGGTAGATATAATTTTTAAGCTAATTTAGCTTTTGAAACTTCATCCTTTCCCTGAGTCAATGTGTTCTCTATAATTCTCATACAATCACTTCTTTGTTCAAAATCTTGCCAATTCATTTTTTCAAAACTCTTTAAGTGACTCAATATTTAGAAACAAAGGTACTTCTCATGTTTCTGATTTAATCTCAGGTTCATCCCCTACCACTCTCCTTCTTTCACACAATGTTCCAGGGATGGGAAGAATCTAGAATAATTTTCTACTTACTCTTCAGTTTACTTTTGCACCACACTGTGTGCTCCCTGAGGCAGAATCTTTGTTTTAAACAAACACAAAGTTCCAAGGACTCTACCTTCTAAATAGTCCTGTGAGGTGTCCACTCTACTCTGTCCCTACTCTCACTACCTCATTTCAGATCCTTCTTAACTTTCACCCAGAATGTTAGAATAACTCTAAACTAGTTTCTCTTTGCCTTGGTCCTAACTCTTAGACAACATTCAAGAGTGAATGCAAAGTTAGCAAATGTGCTTAAAGTCTTTCATCGGTGAGGAAACCAATGAAAGAAATCCCAGCTCCTTAATTTGAGAAGCTCAGATGATCTGATCCTTTCCTAACTTATCAGGCTCATCTCTTAAACTTTTCTATTTGCAATCTCAGCTCTGTGCTAGTGACAATTACATTGGGTACCATAAATGAGTTACTCTTTCATATAAGCAAGTCTCTACAAATGCTAGTCTCTGAGAGACTTGCCCAGCTTTGTCTTGTTAACGAATTTTCTATGATCTTTATCATCAGGGATGATCACCTCACAAAGGTAAGCACAATAACTTGTATATACTTTCATCACACTGTGAAGTAACCATGTGTATTTGCCTGTTTTTCCATTAGATTAAGAACAATTTGAGCTCTAAAGATGCATTTGCTCATGTGACTATTTTAATCTCTTTATCTCAAGATCTTAGGACAAGGTCTGACCCACAATAAATATTTACGATATTTTTTCAGATCTAAAGCATATTAAGAGACTATTAATTTTTCTTCCCTCAAATCTCTCCTCCTTACTGATACAAGTCTAATATTTCTTAATGAATGGCTGGATGAAAAAAATATTCCTTAGCATGAACACTCAGAATCTTATTCATCCTTTTATTAATCCCCTCACCACTTATATACTTAGCAATTGCTATGCACCAGGCACTTTGTTATTTGCTGGAGATACAAAATAAAGAAAACACAGGGCTTCGCCCTATGATATATAAGAACACATTTTCAAAACCATTCTCAATGCAATGTGGTAAAGAGACAACAGGGCATAAAACAAGATGGTATTTCAATCTGCAAAAGACTCTGAAGCATACTGCTTCAAAGCTGAAGTGCAGCAAAAAGAGAATCAGTAATACATAGCAAAAGCAAATTTAATCAAGCCACTGTCCCTAGAATTGGTACAGCTAAAACTTTTTCATTAGTGGTTAATTCATAATGCTTTTAGAGGAGGAGGTACATTTGGAGACAGGTTACAAGAAGTCCCTCAGGGGCTCTGTGTAAAGTTCACAGCAGCCCTGCAGCCCTCCATGTCTATATCATAAACACCTTGGCAACAGACACTATGTTCAAGAGCACAATGGTCCTCTTTCCTACTGAATTTCCTATATTCTTATACACTCTGAAATCTTTTCAACCCTTGCTGCTGTAGAGCTTTTCAATTAAATGTTACTTATAACAGTACCCTGATTTCTTGTTTTCTTTGTTCATTACATGGACAGAGGGTGATACCATCAATTTTTAGAAATAGTATATTTTCTTTCTAATCAAGTTTTTGTCTTTATTTATTAGGCAAGAGTTTTTTCCCTCCTCTGTCTTACAATTTAATTTTCTGTTTATTTGTGTACTGATTATGCAAGAACACTAATGTTTCTGAAGAAAAATAAAATCTTCATTAATTAACTGATTCTTAATAATTAAAATCAAATCAGGGTTATGCCTTTGCTATGCCAAAAATAATTAGTGTAGCTTGGACAGATTTCAAAATTTTAAGCCAGGATTTTTATTAAGAAAGAAGAATTTGCCTGGATACCTTCTATATTGTTATTATAATTTAGTGATTTAAATTATGATACTTGAACAAAAAACAGAATTGTAGAATGTCAGATTAAAAAATAAATTTAACTTCAATTTTGCTAATACCTTAACATAGCAAAAATAGTAAGAAGTTCTAACATAATTTGTAAATTAAATGTACTATTTACATGCAGAATAATAATGAAGTACTATAGAAAATTTTAAGTACTTTTTCATTATAAAAGACATACATAGCCTAGCATAGAGCCATACACTTATAATTTTAGCAACTCGGGAAGCTGAGGCAGCAGTATTACAAATTCAAGGCTAGCCTCAGGAACTTAGGAAGACCCTGTCTCAAAATAAAAAATAAAAAGCGGTAGAGATGTAGTTTGGTGGTAGAGTGTCCCTAGGTCCAATCCCAGTACACACACACACACACACACATACACACACACAAATTTGAAAAGGCTGGCAGGAAGGACCGAAGGACCACTTCAAGGAAAACTTGGAAAAGAAAACTGTTATATTCAGAGTATTTTCCCTGAAAATAATCTAATTGAATTGAATATCTACAATATGGCTTTCTAGGTATAAACTTATATCTGAATCTTAGTGGAAAGTCCATAATTATTGGTTAGTTTGTAAGATGAAAATTCTCCATCATACTCCCTTAAAAAAAAAGAAAAAGAAAAATACTGGAATTGTAGAATGTATAAGATACACTTTCTTTGAATTACTGAAATGATTTCACTAAGAAGAAAAAAAAAAGAGAATGAGAAGTTCTGTTTGTTTTTAATTTAATAATGGGTTTACTTTATCAACCTGAAGTACAGCCATACAATATTTGTTTATGTGTGCATATGAAATTTATAACCCTAATGATAACAGCAACTCCTCCAATTTTCAAGTACCTTTGGAAGGGGGAGCATGGGAGGAATAGATGAATTCTAGATAGGGCAGAGGGGTAGGAGGGAAAGGCAGGGGGCAGGGGATTAGCAAGGATGGTGAAATGTGTGATAGACATCATTATCCAAAGTACATGTATGAAGACACGAATAGGTGTCAACATACTTTATATACAACCAGAGATGTGAAACATTGTGCTGTATAAGTGTAATAAGAATTGTAATGCATTCCGCTGTCATTTATTTTTTTAAAAAATCAATAAAGAAAAAAGAAAAGAAAATCTCACCAGAGGAGAAAAAAAAGAATTTTAAAGTTTTTAATACTTTAATAAAAGATGTTTCAACACGTCATATTGCATCATCTGCATTTAATTTAGAAAATTACATAGATAATTAAACATAAGTATCATTTCTCAGAGCTAACTACCACAATAAGTGGTGATTTGTAAGTAAATAAAGTGATGCTCTTACCTGAATGTTGTCATAGAAGAGAACATCAGGCACTTTCATTTTCTCATGGGTATTATATATTGGTGCACTAATAGTACCAATCCTCAGTGATCCAGATACCACTTCACCTGAATGTTTTACACAAGACAGAGAATTAGTCATAACTACATCCTACAAATAATATCCAAAGATGATAAATCCACCCAACATAAAATGTAGGATAGCTTCTGTAACACCTTGAGTTCTTCAGGGATTTTAATTTAACATCTAAAGAAATAAGCTTAAAGATGGTAATTAAACACTACAGTTCTATATACAGCTTATAATGTTCTAAAATGTAATAATTTTAAAGCAATAAATTTAGCAAATAGTATATAGATAAAATTGAGAAATAAAAAAACAACCCAGAACATAGCCAAGCCACATTCATAAATTTATCTGGTCAGGATTATAATATACACATAATCCAAGTACACATTCAAAAGGTTTTAAGTATCCCGAATATCATCTTTCGGAAGCACCTAATGAAAAACGCCACAAGAAAATCCCTGAGAGGTCTAGTAAAAAATACAGATGAACCAAACCCTTGGACCTCTTGAACTATTATTTTCAGGAATAGTCCAGAAGATCTATATTTTCAAATAAATATCCAGGTGATTCTGATAGAATAGTATCAGAAATATTCTTATTTGAAGTAGGAACTGGGAACCTTTGTCATACAGTTATTCAGTAATAACTTTTATTGTATTGTTCTCTTTTTGCTTTAAAGAGATCTTTAAATACAGGAATTTAATAATAATAAATTTCTTGAAGTCAGGAACCTATCTTGTATATTCCCTGTAGTAATCAGATATTCAAGCTCATTGACACATTTGCCAGAGCACAGCATATCTTTACCATTTTCCTTTTTCAAAAGTTCTACAGGGAAGGAAAGCCAAGAGCCATCACACTAAGTATTTAGTATTTATTTACTACCACCAGACCTTGAAATAGACCCAATATAAAACTATAAAGGGACAGAGGCAGAATATGGCAGTGAATCAACTCTTATACTTGTATGCTGAGATGACACTTGTAATTTCAGGTTCAAACAGCATCTGATAGCATCTACAATTTAGTTTATGGAACATGTCATTAACTTTAGGACAATTGAATTTACACAACCAATGTTGATAAGCAGAAAGGGGATATGAACACAGAGAATGATGCTGCTAGTACATTTCTGGGAGAAAGCTGGCTAGCTATCTTGTAAGTAATTTCACAGGATGACATTATTTTGGTAAATTTATGAAGTTCCTCAAAATCTAGTAGGCTCAAAATTAATTTTATAATCAGAACTGAGGGTAAATCTAACTTTCAGGAGAATATTAAACACATTCTGACTAAGAAAATAAAATTGCAAAATATTACATCACAATGGAAACTGCAACTTTCATATCAACTATAATACACTGTTTGCCATAAAACCTTATTATTTGGAGTGGGAACTGCATGGAAAGCCATGTTCTCAAGAAGGTTATTTGGTAAGCATGGACTCTAACAAGGAAAGTAAATTAATGAATTCTCTATAGGACAGATGATTTTAAAAATGAATGGTATTAGTCAATTTGAAAAGTCTCATCACTTAGGTCCCTTATATTCTACAAGAGGGTCACGTCACTGCTAACAAGGGCCTGTCTGAAATGACCATCTTTCTTTGGATATATCAATAGATTTAATCAAATAACACTCTGAATCTTCAAGGCCCAGAGTTATTCTGTCTCTTTTGAGTTTCTATTCAGATCTGAATTCCTATTCAGATCTATCAGTATATTAAATTTATAATCTGAGTCCAAAAATGTCATCTAATTTTCTTAATACCAAATTCTTGGTTCAGGGTAACCTCCATTATTAAAAAAAAAAAAAAAGTCTACTATAAAGAGAATCACAGTAGTCTATTTTAGAAAATGGTCATACATTAAATGTTTTGATAAAACAGTTAATTACAGGGGCTGGGGTTGTGGCTCAGCAGTAGAGCGCTCATTTAGCATGGATGAGGGCCTGGGTTGGATCCTCAGCACCACATAAAAATAAATAAATAAAATCAAGGTACTGTGTCCAACTACAATGAAAAAATTAAAAATAAAATTAAAAAAAACAGATAATTACATTTAAAAATGGGGAAACTTTCGCTGTGCTCTAACTGAAGAATAGGAAACTTTTATGAATAATCCTCCTCAAAATTCAAATTTATACTTATGGCTACTCAGAAAAAAAGCAACACAAACAACAGGTGGAAATGGAAGGAGTACGAAGGCATAAGATGTTATTCTGAATATTAGTTTAGTCTGAATCAAGCTAAAAAAGTTGCCCAAACATGTCCCATAGTGGTCCTCAATATTTAAATGTTGTGCAAAGAAAGCAGAATTTTAGATAATATCGTGAAACATATTTGGAAAAAAATATTGTCAAAATTATACAAGTTAATTACAAAATGGATTCTCAGAGCCTTTAATATGTTAGTATCAACTGTGACTCTTGAAGGCCAGGGAGAACCATCAAGAATATACTGCAGTGCAGTAAATATTCTAAGGTTTAACTTATAAATAGCATTCACATTTCTAAAAAACAGATTCTTCAACTCAGTACATAAACAAAATGCATTAAAAACATTTATATTGAAATTAAAATAATAGCATCAAATGTTTGATAATTATTTTTTCACTTAAAACAAAAACAAATTAAATACTTACATTTGTAATCCTCCAGGTCTGGTTCCAGATTGTCATTGGTAGTTATTTCTATTGCAGCATCTGCCAGATTTTTCTCTAAAGCTGACCTAGCAAGGCTTGGTAAGAACCTGGCAGAGAATGGGGAAATGGAATGATAAAGTCAAAGTTTTCTGTGATTCTCGAATATCTTTTTTGGAGGGTACTGAGGATTGAACTCAGGGACACTCGACCACTGAGCCACATCTCCAGCCCTATTTTGTATTTTATTTAGAGACAGGGTCTCACTGAGTTGCTTAGTGTCTTGCCATTGCTGAGGCTGGCTTTGAACTCTCAATCCTCCTGTCTCAGCCTCCTGAGCCTCTGGGATTACAGGCATGCGCCACCGCATTAGGCTTCTCAAATATCTTTAAATGCACATGGGTGCACGTGTACAAACACACACAACTTTAGTATTTACTACCTATTATGGGAGATTGGTCTGGATCTATGAGATTCGAAGCATACAAAATTTTTAGAATATATAAGTATAAAGTATATACTTTATAAAGTAAAGGATGTTTGCGGGATCTTCTTTAATAACTAAATAAAGCTCATTTGTACTTAGCCGTACTCACTTAAGAACAACATATTACAGAATAAAAATTGAAATAATTTGCTTTTTAAGTGGATTTAATATACTTCATAAATATTGTTTGTTATTGGTTTATCAAATTTTATTAAATAGATATTATAGCAATACTTTGGACTGCTCTAAGTTTACAGTCACAAATTCAAATCAATGGAGGTGAATTAGTCTTAACAAATTACTGAATGAATAATTATCAATCTTGGATCTTCCTTACATTAAAAAATATATACCTCCAGGGATAGGAATTCAACTTAGTAGCAAAGCACCACCTAGCATGCATGAAGTCCTGGGTGTGATCCCCAGTACTGCAGCATAAATAAATAAATACAAAAGTGTATCTCCATATCTATTTTATAACTGTGTTGTCAATTTGGTGAGTGACAGAGGCATTCTTCAATTATAAACATATTGTGAGCAATTATAAACATATCATGTGCTGCTAACATGAAACATAGATTCCCACCCACACAAATAAAGTTATACTAGTTTGATCCCAAGTGAGCCCACAGAAATAATCTTTAATCCATGATTATCTGTACCATACTTTTATAAACTAACCACTAGGAAATACAGTGTTTCAAATAAATACACTAAGAACATACCACTTATAATTTAGATCTTATACAGCTCTAAAACTTTGACAATGGTTCCAACATGTTTGAGAATAATTTTAACAATGGAGTGGTATGTGCCAGAGGCAACAGATATCCATAAAGGGATTGTTATGGAATAATCCCTGTCCTTATAGCATTCCACTCCTAGATCTGACACTAGCTCTTAGCTAATGTTTCATTTTGGTCCTAGGCGATGTAAGGGAATTCATAGACCTCTGTGCCAATAGTTCATCAGTTCAGCATCAAGTCAGACTTATCTGTTACAATGGTGACCTTTTATCATAACTCTTAGATCATTTGCCTTTTTCAAAACCATGTGCTCATTTTAACTCCCAGACCCAATAACTGGGCTTTTGTTCTATTTTTTGAGCCCTGGTCCTAGTACCCCATCAATCTTCCTTTCACCATTCTCCCAGACTTAGATGGTAGTAGTGACTGTATCTGTGCACCCTGTGGTTGTATCTCCATTACTTCCTATCAGACCACCTCAACTGGCACTGCCCACTTACAAACTAGACTTGTTTGCTATTTCCAGTCATCCCTGACATCACCGTGGTCTGTCAACACATCCTCAAATTGACCATGAACTGGAAGCTTTTTAGATTGCCTGGAAAGCCAGTGGAGTCTAGCAAATATGGGAGGAGGGGTATAAATAAGAGTGAGGAAAAAAAGAGAGGCTCAGTGTATTCAAGCAGTCTTACTTAGAAGGTGTAACAAATTATTTTATTTGTAGAATTTTAATTCTTAAATTTACAAATAGTAATTTAAGATAACATGATTTATTCTACTTACAAATATAGTTTGAAATAGTTAAACAGAAAATACATAAAATTATTGATGCAGGTTTAAATTTTTAAAGATATTTAATTTAGCCAAGTTTTATAAATGGAACCAAACATTTTCTAAAGGCCCTTAAAAATGATTGTTAAGATCTCTTAGTTAGCTGAATGAACAGAAAACCACAGAAGACTTAGAATTTTTAAAATTATAGCCTTAAAAAATTGAATCAGCTTTTAAAGCCAAAAATAAATTCTAAACAGTCTCCTAAAGTAAATATTTAAGAAATAAAATTACAAGAAAATAAGCATAATTTTAATAAATTTAATGTTCAATAAATTTAGGTTAGGTAGTTTATTTACCTTTTTGTCTGCTTAATAAAATACCTTATGAATATAAATTAGGTTAATTTTTATTTTAAAAATTTCAACAAAATTCAATTCTGTTTCACTGCCTCAAAATGGAATGAAGTCACTGAAGAATACAAAAACCGAAACAAACAAACAAACAAAAAGACCCCCACACTTTATCACCAATAATTTTTTGGTACATTCCTGACATTGTGCTATCCTTGGGAGAAGGTTAGTACAAAGACTTCTAACTTTAGCTTTGCTGAAGTCAACAGATGATGCAAAAAACAAGATGAACTGTCATTTCTATTTCCAAAAGGTTATAAGGTGAGAAGAAAATGGAGTTTTATTGTGGTCAGCTGTTAACACCAGAAAAATTAGCTACTTCATGCAGTGAGGTACTTACAAGAACAAAAAGTAAACATTTTTAAACTCTGAAATATTTTAGTAGTTCAGAAAATTGCAGAGATATTACAGAAAATGTTTTTACAAGTAAAAAATTTTAAAGTATAAAATGGTAGCTGATTTTCATTTCAAATTTCATTTCCCTTATTAGTAATGAGGTTGAATATCTTTTCAAATGTTTATTAGCCATTTGAATTACTCCTTCTTCTCATCAATGCCTATTCATCCTTTGCCCATTTAGGGTTGATTCTTTTTCCTTAATATTTGTAGTCCCTTGAATACCAATACTTTCTTGACTATAAATCTTGTAAAACATCTTTTCCTACTTTATTCTAATAGTCTATTTGTCTTGCCTTACACGAATACAAAATAAATATGAAGAATATGGTTTAACAATGGATCTTGATATTTGATAGAGTAAGTATACCCTGCTCAAATCTTCGAAATTTCCTACACTGTTTTTGGAATTTGATTCTTACATGTCAACTTTGAGATCAAAGCTTTTCAAATGCACTATAACCTTGTGGGATTTTCATTAAATTATATCTGTATTTCAGTTCTGGGGAAAACAGTTTTAAACTAATGAATCCTTCCCTTCATGTAGGTATAGCTTCCCTTTTAAGTCCTCTTTTGTAAATTTCAATAAAAATTTGTACTTTTCTCCATAGAAGCATTACATGCTCAATGACTAGATTTATTCATAGGTGCTAGAGTACAGGAATGTTACTGAGTACAGTACACAAGTAGCCTCACTAAACTCTATTTGTTCAAATAATTTACATGTATTATCTTTGGATTTTTTTGTGTAGTCAATGATATAATCCTTGGCAAATGCACATACTAAAAATATAGAAAGATGATATTCTTGCTCTGTTTCTAATTCTAAAGAAAACGTGCCAAGTGTTTTGCCAAAAGAATCAGCTATAAATTTCTGGTACATATTCTTTATCAGATTAAAGACTTTCCCAACTATTCATGATTTACTAAAAATAAGCCTGGTTTACTAAGTGATGTTTGGTTTTGCTTTGGTTTCATTTTGGATTTGGCTATTTGATTTTATGAAATACTTTTTCTTTATCAAAATATTATCTTTTCTCAATAATATGTTTTAACAGTGAAGTAAGAATAGAATTTTGGACCTTCTTCACATTCTTGAGATAATTCTGAATTTTTCTTAAGTTTTAGAAGTGTAACATACATTTTAGATAAATCAAAAACAGGTACATTTTAATAAAAGCTAAGTGAAAAGAGAAAACCTCAGAAATAACATCATTTTTTTGCTATAACTGAACATTTTTGTCCCTTCTAAAATTCACATGTCAATACCCTAATCTCCAACAATGAATTTGTGCTAACTTCTAGCTGGGAATACCTGTAATCCAAAGCTACTTGGGAGGCTCAAGTAGGAATACAGCCTGGCAATACAGTAAGACCCTGTCTCAAAATTAAAAATAAAAACGGCTGGGGATGTGGCTCAGTGGCAGAACACCCATGGATTCAAACCCCTTCCCCGCCACCCAGTGCAGGAGGAAAGAAGGAAGGTAGGGAGGACGAAGGAAGAAATTGTTTAACTTTAAACATTATCTCATGTTTATTTTTTATGCTGATTTTTTTCTTTCATTTCTACCTATGTTGTATTGATATCAGTTTTTCTCTGTTTGTTCATTCTAATCCCATAAGATCCATTTCCATACTTTTTTGTGGTTACCCAAAATTTATGCATGCATACTTGAATTACCAACTACCAAGTGATTTGATACTTCTATTCTCTTCCTAAAAAATAGAACTAAGGGCTGGGGTTGTGGCTCAGCAGTAGTGTGCTCGCCTAGTACATCACAAGGGTCTGGGTTCAATCCTCAGCACCACATAAAAATAAACAAATAAAATAAAGATATTTTTAAAAAAGAAAATAGAACTAAGATATTCATCTTTTTCCAGTTTCTATAGTCTCTTGTTTACTATTGGTTTCACCTTGTTGTTAAAAATTTCCCTATATTATTAATATTCATTTTTATTTCTTTATTTTTCATAATATATTTAAATTTCCCATAAAAAATTACCCTATATTATTAGTATTCATTTTTATTTCTTTACTTTTCATAATACATTTAAATTTCCCATAAAAAAATTCCCTATATTATTAGTATTCATTTTCTTTACTTTTCATAATACATTTAAATTTCCCATATATTTACCTATTTCTTTCCTCAATATTCTTTTTTAAAATTTGTTCTTTTTAGTTTTACATGACAATAGAAAGTATTTTGACATATCATATGTACATGGAATATAACTTCCCATTTTTGTAAGTTGTACATGATATGGAGTTACACTGAACGTATATTCATATGTGAACATAGGAAAGTTATGTCCAATTCAATCTACTGTGTATTTCCACTTTTCAGCCAATACGAATAATATTGCTAGGAACATATATGTACAAGTTTTTGTATGGACATTTTAAAATTTCTCTTGGCTAAAAATCCAGGAACAGAATTGCTAGGTCCCATGGCAACCTCAAGCTTACTTCATTTCTTATACCTGAATTGTGATATTTTCTTCCTTTCAAGTTTAAATAAGAAAAAAATTATTTTTTTTATTATAGTTTTTCACAATTTCTAATTTGGCAGAGTGAACAGAGAATATTTACCTCAGTTTATCTTGCTTATGTTTTTCAATGGCTTCTAAACTCTTTTAATTCAACATGTTTTAAAAATATTAGTGTTTTAAAAAAGATCCTTGAAGTTTTCTGTCTCATATAAAAGGAAAAATATGGAATCACTCTGAAATTACTTCTTTTAATGTTTTCTCAAATATCTATCCAAATAAAACATCTGATGAAAATCAATTCCTTAATTCTTTCTCACCTTTATTAAAAATTTTCTCACATTTTCTATGTAGACTGTATGACTATTAGTAATAAGTTAAATTTTGCCAATTATCAACATCCTCAGATGCTTTATTTTATTTATTTAATTTTGACAGTACTGGAAATTGAACTCAGAGATTTGTGTACGCTAGGCTCAAAGCTCTACCACTGAGCTATATTCAGCTCTCTCAGATGCTTTAAGATAGTTGATATTAGTTCTCCAAATTTTGATCACTATTGTTTATTTACTAAACCAGTTTTCATTACTGTATTTACTATTGTATTTTTTTAAACAGAGGAAACCGAAAGTTGATTTGATTGCCCACCTATATCTTAGAGGTCATAGAATTTTGGAGGTGTGGCTAGTTTATTCTAACATATTCATACTACTGTTTTTCCTTGAGCTTCAAAGTTGTTTACACTGCTTAGTACTCAGTGTCAACTTCTATTATCTCATATTTATAACAAATCCTACCTAAGACAAAATATTGTTTAGGTAATTAAACTATCTATATTTTCTTCAGTTTATAACTCAAAAATAGGTGACTGAAGACTTTTTTCAAATTTTCGTTGGAAATCTCATATTCTAGTTAAAGGAAAGGAGTCATTTTTGTTATGTCTCAAAAAATTACTCTAAAGTCACTGGAGAGTCTCAGTTTAGCTGGATACACCACAGGAAAAACAAATTCAAGTTGCAACATTAAGGAGTTTAATTTAACTAAAAGAAAAATTGTCTATTACATTAAAGAGTTACAAAGGACCATTTCATATTATCCTAAGCCATAAATAGATTGATTCTTTTTTAATTCCTCTAATCAAGGAATAATGGACAATATGCATAACTATCATAAAAATCACAGGAATAGAATTTGAAGGATGAAAATATTAGAACATATGAAAAGGGTCTAAAAAAACACTCTGGGCCTCCTGGGATTGTTTTTTTGTTTGTTTGTTTTTGTTTTTTAATTTTATGTGTGAACTATGTGCACTGGAGCTATAACAGGTCTGGTGCTGTGCGCTGATTGGGCTATAAGTGCTCCTTTCTTCTGTTCTGCCTGTGATCCCACACCGCACCTGAGATGGGTGTGATTTGCCAAGATGTCAATCAATCTGCTGACCACAAGACATCACAAAGCAAGACTCCACCTTTGAAATATTATCCCCTGCTTTATATTGTTGTATACAAAGTATATTCACACC